AGAATCATAGAACGGCTTGGGTTGAAAGGGATTCAAGGATCATCAAGCTCCAACGCCCCTGCCGCATGCAGGGCCGCCCCCTCCTCATTTAATACTAGACCAGGCTGCCTAGGATTCCATCCAACCTGGCCTTGAGCACCTCCAGGGATGGGGCATCCACAACCTCTCTGGACTTAAATCACACAGCTTAAATGTATTTGGTCACAGCAATTCTTCAGTAAGCATGAGAAAACTGCCTTCAAAATTAAATGCTTTGAAGATTTCCACTACTAGAAGCTCAACATTTGCCTATTCAAATGTACTTCAAGGTATTGTAAAACATTTTCCCCAGACTTTGTGCATATATGTTATCACTGGCAACAGATGTTTTGTTGAAATTCTGTACAATACCCATTGAACAGCACAAATAAAAGAACAATTGGCCACAGGAGGCTAAACACTCAAGAAGAATACTCAAGGTTCCTCATTTAATTGAAACTTCTGAGCATAATTCAAAGCAGGCTTGAGTTATGTTAAAATGAAATGATCACCACACCATTTCCCCTAGAAAAACCAGCTGTCCCCCATTGCCCAGATCTGTGCAGTTGTGAGAGTACAGGCTAGTACAAGAGGGTTCAGCTCAACAAGGCTCCTTGGTGTTTGAAAGGGAGATGGTGTGTCTGATCTACAGCTCTGGGTGAGACATGTAGGTCCCTGAGCATATGAGGAGAGCTGACATACAATAAAAGAGGTGCAGAAAATGAATAGAGATACTAAAAAGAACAAAACATTGGGTTAACTTACAAGAAAAAACACTGACAACAGCTTAAAATGTGTCCATCTCCAGGACAATACTAGTAGTATTCAACAAGGGTCTGGAAAGTTCCTCTGAAAGCAACTGTCTACAACTTCCTTCTCAAGAAGCTGATTCCCCTCCCGTTGCACAGAACAGCATGAGCCTGACCATGTGTGTTACACTGGGGAAGGCAGTGTCTGCCATCTGGTTGTATGATGGCACAGCTCGTGGAGCCGTGGCTGCTCAGGGGACAGATCTGCTCCACATCTGCAGTGTTCTCAGAGGTGTCAGCATTGATGGTAATGCCCCTGAGTTTGGAACTGCACTGAGAAAGTGGCAGATGTTGGCTCTAATTCCCAGCTCTGTCTCCACAGGGTCAAATCATAGCATCATAGAAATGTTTTCATTGGAAAGGACCTTTAAAGGTCATCTAGTCCAACTCTCCTGCAATGAGAAGTGTTTTCTTCTACTTACTGCTCCCAGGGTGACGAATATACTTTACATTTGTATTATACTTAAAAACTAATGAACAAAACATATACAATTCTGGGAGTGATGTGGTACATCAAGGCTCTTATCTGTTCGCTTGTGTGGCTCAGATACAAATTAATTAAAATTCTTCTGGAAAGAGGAGAATAGCTGCACTTTTAGACCCCAGTAATGACCAAGCCTCAGACAGGCACCATTGCGCTGTCCATCATCAGTGGATGGCTGACAGTTCTTGAATAAAAGTTCAGCTGTGGGCATCTGAGGAACTTAAAAGTGAAAACTAAGATGTCATTAGAGAATAAAGAGGAGTTAGCAGCTGCCCGATGCTTTCAGGATTACAGCTATATTTGACAGCTACATTTCAGCTCAGGTAATTCAGAAGGGTCGGGAGGGAGGAAGGGAAGTGCTGAAATACTAAACTTAGACTGCTACTTTAAATAATGTGGTTAGACTTGAACTGAAGCAGGAACTACTCATCCACTGGATAACATGGGAGCCCAAGAACTGAATCCAGAGCACTCAGAAGCTCCTGCCCAAAGCAGGAACTCCTATCAGAATTCTCAACAAATACGTATTTCTTCCTTCACTTCTTCCCAAACACAAGTCAATGGACTGTACTTTCCAGATCACGGCAGAGATGCACCACCAGCCTCAGTTCCTGTGAGTACAGCACAGCTCCACTCTTTGTCCAGTACTGCAAGTAACAGAGTGCATCACACAGAACAGAAGTGATAGCAGCATAGCAGCTGCACACTCTTTCTGAAGACTTTCTTAAAATCTATCAGTTGGCAGCTGTACCAACATAACTGTGGAGACTGACATTCTCTGTATTAATGACAAGGTTATTTTTTTCTTCCCTTTTTCACACCCACTAATATCACATTTGTACTACAAGCAACAGTTACTTCCTTAGCTTCCACTTAGAGAATAACACTGAGCAGAAGGATTTGGGCAAAGAGCAGAGGCAGCCAGCATTCCGAGCTTCCATCCCACCTCACCCCTCAGCTCCAGCACACGAATCCAACCCTCCTCCAACCTATCCCAAGTCACTCTCTGAATCACTTCGCTTTAAGAAAAAAAAAAAAAAAAAAAAGAAAGAAAAAAAGACTAAAACTTGAAATCAAACGTTGCGAGCACTCCTCGCCTTTTCAGCACCACGAGGAGCGATAAAAGTTGGCAGTACTCGCACGAGGGGATGCGCTCAGCCGGAGGTACCAGGGATCCCGGCGCTGCCGCCCAGCTGACCGCGGGAGCCCACCCGGTGCACGGGACCCTGCGCTACGACACGAGGGTTGCCCGGGGTCCGCTCCCCCCGCCGTTACCTCGATGTAAGGGACGATTTTGCAGGAGAAGTCCTCTAGGAGCCACTTCTTGGTAAGCTCCTGGAAGATGACCAGCGGCAGGCAGAAGAAGACGATGAGGAAGTCCCAGAAGGCCAGGTTGGCCAGCAGGGAGTTGGAGATGCTCCGCATGTAGTAGTTGTGGCAAACGATGCACATCACTGCCATGTTGCCCATGATGCCGATGCCGAAGATCACCACGGAGAGGCACATAACGGCGTAGGCACCGTACGACTCCTCGGTCAGCGGATAGAAGGGGTTCCGGAGCCGGGCTCGGCGCCCCGTACCGTTGCCGCGGCCCCCGGCGGCGCTCTCGCCGCGGGCAGAGCCGTTCAGCGGCAGCCACCGGGGGCCGCTCCCTGCCACCGCCCCGACCCCACTCTCGCTGCTCCGCT